AAAAAAATTTTAACAATTTATTGAAAAACTTTCATGATATGGGAGTAAACATGTCATTAAAGATTCACTTTCTACACTCTCATCTGAATTTTTTTCCTGAAAACTTAGGCAGTATGAGTGACGAACAGGGTGAACGTTTCCACCAAGATTTAAGGACTTTCGAAGAACGACATCAAGGATTTTGGGATGAAAATATGTTAGGGGATTACTGTTGGTCTATCATAAGAGAAACTGATTCAAATAACTATAAAAAGAAAGCAAAAATTAGTCATTTTTAATTTATTTTTGTATTAATCCTAAAATTTTTGTATTTCCCTTCAAGAAAATAAATATTTTTTAAACCAGACGTGATAGAATTTTTTTATTATTTTTTTTGGATAGTTCTACCTGAACACAAAATAAAATACATAACAACTTTCAGCTGGGGTATGAAAACCATGTAATCTAGTGTAATTTTTTTACATTTAGTAATTATTTTGAGTTTAATTTATTACTAATTGTGAAAAAAATTACCTTTAATTTATATTTTGCATAGAAAACGCTTAGCACAAGTCGTAATTTTCACACAAAACGTGGAGTATGACAGTTTTTTATTGATATATCTTAGTACATTACAATAATTGGAAACTATATTATTTTATCATTACTTTTTTTGATTGAGAAACGAGAGACTTCATGTTTATTGTAAGCTGTGACTATTCAAACTTGTGCTAAGGGTATAGATGTTGAAAGATGCTTAAAATTAAATTAAATTATTACAGTTTTTTTTAAATAGTTGCCATATAAAACCTCTTTTCTATTTTTCTCTCTTTGTTCTTGTAATTTTTATTATCTGTGTTCAGACAACGGATTATTAATCTCAACAATTCCTTTTTATAGTCTGTTTTCTATTAAGCAAGAGCTGTAGGGTCCAATGTACGCTACGATAAATATTTATCATACACCGTTTGAAAAATAAAACTATTTCCCTAGACAAAGTTATCTGATACAACACTATCTTTGGCTTGTCATTTAAAATTTTCCAATAACTTTATTGAAAACAAAATCTTTTCTTTGAATTTTGTTTTAAAAAAATATAATAAATATAGAATTTTTATTTCATTCATAAAGTTTTATCTTTTCGATAAAAGGAATCATCAAACGTTCTTATTTTTTTAGCCATATTAATGAGATACTAGTGATAAAAACTTGTTTGGTAGACAATAAAGGAATAGTTTTTTAAACACGCTTTCTTATCTAATAAAAAAATTAAGTCTCTTTAAAAAACAAACTTCTGAAGCAGGTTGCTATTTAGATGAGTGTATATATATACATATAGGTATGTGTGTGTGTGTGTAAGTTTGTCTAAGTTACACGCTATGCTCTTACTACCGAAATGATAAGTTAAATAATTTTTATGCAGTACACAAAAGACAAATGTTGAACTCAAGTTTACAAAAGGTCACACCAAAGCTTTTGTTTGTTTAGTTTCGTGTAGAGAAATTACAAATGCAGGAATTCTGGAATCCTTTTAGGTTACAATGACCTGAGACATGACATTTTCTTTTTCTTTTGTTGATATTACTGAGTAGATACTGCTATATATAATAAACTAAAAACATTCAAAAAAAATTTATTTTCTATGACTGATAGTAAGAAAAAACGATATCAAAAATATGTATGTAAAAAACAATGAATTATGAATGTTCCCTACTAAGTACTAATGCACAAATAGTTTATGAATACATCTTAAATAACATCAGCTTATATATTTATACGAGGTCGATATGTAAATTAAAGAAATGTATATAATATTTATAAGTTGGAAGTAGCACAGCTAATCGATTCTTCTGGGACGGGATTAAATTAAACGAATCACAATGAAAAAGTGAATATACTTACACTGTCTCCAATATATGAGAAGACGAAGGATTATAGACAAAATATATATATTTTTTATTCTATGAATTGTCAGCAATAAAAATATATTACATATGCAAACTGCTAAGTCATTCTAACGTTTTAAAAGACTCAGTTTTTTAGGGCTAAAACTAACTAAATTACTTTATTTAATAATTCTATTACGACTGGTTTGCTACCGATGGAATTTTTAAATCAATTTTTATATATAATTCGTTATAATCTTATTAAGTAGTGTAGAGAAGCTGATTATTAGCTGATTTGACATCTCCTAATCTGATGAACACGCGACACTCCTCGTCATACAATAATACAAAGACTAATATCACATCTGTCAGAATTCAATCTCATTAAACAATCCCTATCCATTATACTGTTGAAATTTTAATTGAATTTTATGAATAGATTTTATTTTCATTTCTATTATATATTACTACAATTCTTGATATCTAAGATTTTATTCATTGAAATAAAACTATTATTTTTCAGATTTATGACGCGTTTATTTTTAACACCGTTTCGGTTACTTTGCACCAACTGTGATCGCATATTCAGTAGTAATACCGAAAGAAATTAGTTTAATTAATACAATTCTTATTGATTATAAATGAAATTGGAACATTTTTATTTGTTTTTGATATACAAGTATTCATCTATTATATTATTAAGAATTTCAAGATCTCTTGAAATGTACTCGACTCAAAATCTGCATAATCATAAACCAATCTGCATAATTTCCAGTGTACGGAAAAACCAATTGGTTTATGAGACACTGAAAACTTAGATATAAATGTAAAAAATACCAACATAATTGTAATAAATAAATAAATAATAAATAATAATCGTTGTTTACGAATTTTGCTACTTTAAATGTATGTCCCCCAGAGACACTGATAAATGCTATCATAATTATGCGTTCAGCGTGCACTAGCTACTTATAACGGTAAATATAATTATTTAGTCACAGCACAGATAAACATCAATAAATAATGAAGCACAGATAAAAAAATAAATTAGGACATTGTTATCAAGACAAAATAGTATATTATTATATAAATTTGATAATACTTCTTCAACCAATACTAGTTAAAAAAATTCTATACAACTTGGAAGTTTTGAATTTTTATCTGATTAATATATAGTAATAAATCCGATTCCTTAATAAACATGACTTGACTAACGTGACTATAAATCAAGTCCAAATTTAAGTTTACTTCCAACAAATTAAGAAAAAGCTATTCTTCTACCAAAAAAAGGATACGCGACTCTTAATTTAACAGAGCAAGAAAAAGATCTAAAAAGATCATCTTCATATTCAAATGTCTTTTAAAAACTAATAAAGTTATACTTACTATTGTTCAGCAATCGAGTCTTTAGTTCGACTTATCTTTTAATAGGATTTTGTGGAAAAAGTCGATGTCTAGCGATAAGAGGCTTTGTCGTACATTTATCTGTACAAATATCATGTTATAATATAAATAAGTAAAATAATATTTAGTGGCATCAAGTCTGGCTGTATTATTTAAATATTACTTACAGCAAAAATGATTACGTTAGTACTTCTCGGACATTTAGTGCTTCTAGACAAGATTACGTCAGCTAATTTTATCAATTCATTCATTTAGTAGATGAAAATTGTTGAATGAAAACAATATTCTATCGATCATTTCATTCATTCATTCAGATAATGACGTTTTATATAATAAAAAAATATTCTTGAACTCAATAGAAAAATTAAATTACTTAGAGAGTAAAGAACAGAACAATTGGTACTTTAATATAAAGGAATTATAATTTAGGAGAAATGTTTTATACCAATCTAATATAAAGCAAACAAACATACATAGTTATGTAAAGGAAATGTCTTGGAAAATGTAAAGTGGACGTGATCACAAAGAGGATAAACTTTAATGATATGTGCGGTTCAAAAACCACGCTCTGAGTTTCTGAGATGAGAAAAATAACTAAACTAGGAAATAACTGAATCAAGCTTATGTATAGTCATAGTTTGATTCTCAGTAAAATGGTAGAACAATCTTAAAAATGACAATAATATTTTTTGAAAATCATTTTTTTTAAAAAATTCTTTTATAGTTTATACTTTTCGTAATCTTCTGGAACCTATTTAGAAGTCTTAATACTGATTTTCTTTAACAATATAACTCTACTATACTTCTTATTGACACCTGTTACTCTTATTGTTACTCTACTGTTATGTATGTGTCATATTGGCTGGATTTAAATATTTTTATTTAAATAATATTGAATACATTAAATAAAACAAAAGTTATTTTACTGAGTTCAAACTTTGAATGTTTTTTACACCAAAGAAATCAGTCGAAGACTTTAATAGAAATAACATCAAAAAAAAAAAAATATACTTACTCGATTACGCTTTGGATAATATTTTTAAAGGTGTGCTAACTTCTAAAGTTTATTAGCCACTTATTAAAGATTAAATCCTTTTCGACACATTTTATAATGTATGAAAAACTATCTGTCGGAACTACATAAGGTGGCAGAGATTAGTTTATCATATCAGGTAACTTGATGAGACGTAGACTTAAAAAATTAGTTTTACTTGTATATAGTTTAACAAATACAATGATTATTATTATAAAAGAAAGAATGTATGAGACAGTAGAGCTACACTCATGTCACAATGTTTAAAATCCTTTAAAAGCATTTCATTACCAGTAAACATTAATGTCGATAATATCGTTTAAAGTGGAGAAGGGGACTGTTACAGAACAAAAACTCCGATAACAACAATCTTATACTCGTGACGATGTGTCAAGTACACCAGACGAACCTGTAACAGTTTTAAAATACTACTATTCTATTAAAAATATGACAAAAGTTATATATAGACATATTAAAAGCTGCATATCAATCTTCAGTTGAGAGAGATGCATTTCCGTTAGTGCTTATAACAATTTTCCTCGTACGTATTCCGCTATCAATTCCTCTAGCTGAAGCATTATCGTAGCGCCGTGTTATCGCGGGAGTGGGGATGAATGATATATTCCACATTATTCGTCAGAGCTCGCTCAGTTTCGAACCGATCAGTGTACTGAGAGGACGTGTCGCTTTACGTGAAAATGTGTAATGTTTGTACTCGAGATGTTGTGGCGCCGACGCCGGCGGCTGCCAAGCCGAGTAAGACTTTGGAAAGGATGAAGATGAAGCACAACATCGTCACCGACCCCACCAATATGGAGAAGCAGAAGGAGGTGGAGTACCAGCCTGATTTACTGGCTATGTCCACACAATACTCCAAGCTGGCCTTCGACATCATCAAGCAGAGTTTCGAGCGTTTCAAAGACACGAAAGTTTACGCGTAAGTTTTATTTTCAGTGAATATAAATAATTTAAGGACGGTGAGAGTAGCATTAAATCCATTCGTGATGTGAATGTATGTATTAAATTTTATTATTACAATCAACCGTTAACCAGGTCCAAGCCAAGGTTGATAGAAATCCGTGATATATTTTTTCTCTCTAAATCTTTTACGCTTAAACCGTGTCATTCCTATTTCGTGATTCCCATTTTTTTTGGATATTATAATGTGATTAATCCTCGAGGTTATTTAGCTGAATTAACTATTTCTAAGTAGGTTAAGTTTAATATTATCAGTTAACAGCACCAACCTTGCACGTGAAGTGTAGTTAAGTGAAAGCAAATCATAACAAATGTATAAAGTATATTCTTATCAACACATATTCACGCGGTTTCTCTAAACGCATAAAATTTATTATAGTTTTAGCAATAGAAGTATAATGAGTATGTTTATTTTATTATAGAAAGGTTGTGTAAAATTATACATCTCCTAACTTAAGTTTTACGTAAAGAATATTAAGAATTAAAATTTACATACGTACATATAAATTTATATCTTAAAATATAGATAGACAAGTGAACACAGTAACAACGTAGAAAAACCCTTATCGGTTATGTTTTATCGAGAGCAGATCGAAATAATCACCACTTTCTTTGTCACCTCAGAAGTGAATACTTCTTACAGCCTTGAGTTGTCGTTTGATTATTATTATGGTATATCTGTATGGAATTAATTCTGTCTTTAAAAAGTTCAGCCTTAGTGAAGAATGTATTTCCATATCAACTATAAGCAGTTTTGTTTCTCGTTAAAATATATGCTACATACACTTTACAAAAGCAACTCTCAGAAGATCTGTGTATTTATTTAGTACATGGTCTCTTTGAAATAATCAAAAAATATAAAATCATTGAAAAATAGCAGTTATTAAAGTAAAGAACACTAACTAAAAATTAAAACTGACTCGTTAACTCTATATTAAAATTTACAACTAACCAAACAAGAAATCTTTATAGATGAATTTATACATACTACATAGTTATATCACGAGACTTTGCTATATCTTTTATGAACGCTCTCAAGAGTAGTGACGTCAATTTTATTATTTTGGTTCAATCCTTCATACAAGGCCCTATATGATTATTATATTTCGTTTATTTAGTTAAAGCGAAATGCTTATTTGGGTTATTTCAGATAGATCAAAGACCCGCCTCTTGATGTGCCAAAAACAACACCGAGGTCATATCACACATTCATAATATATAATCATTTAGCAATATTTATTTACTTTCTAAAATAACTATTAACGCAAAATATTTACTCTAGAATGGGAACAATATAATAGTGGAAATGACCGTCTGTCTGTTCTCAAGGATTTTGTTTGATCGAATACAATGAGGTGTTAAAATACAAATTGATTAAAACACATCGCAATCCTTTGATATATTCAAACAAATAAACAAAATATTATTAAGGTACATACGTGTGATTGTAAAATTAGGTACAAAAATCAATTTTATAAATTTTTTTCTGACCTACGTAACAGAAGAGATATAATTGAATCGTTTGTTTAAATATAATAAAAGAAGCATATAAAAAGTTGTCAATTTGTTAACAAACTATCTTTACTTCTCTGTGATAATATTTTTAAAATCAACAGGTGAAGAACCTCTTCTATATCTTATATTTTTTTTTGTCATATAAAAGTTTATATATTATAGAGTATACTATATTTGTCTATTCTCATAGTTCTAAGGTAAAGCCACATATAACTTTAATATATGTTATATTTTTAAATCAAACTTTTTCTGTGTTTCCGACACGTAACAAAACCATTCAGTGACAAGGTTTAAGTTAAAAAAGAATTGCAATTTCATTACAATGACTATTTTTAGTCTCGGCCGCCTGCCAGTACTAATAAGAGATTTTATTTTAGATGTTTAAATGTATGTATCTGAAAATAATTTTTACGATATACCATAATTTTGTATCATTTCGAATTTTATTTCGAGTTTTTTCTCAACTTCTGTAGCTTACGGTTGGATAGTATAAATAAAATTAACGGTTAAGTATTTTCAAAAAAGAGGTTTATACTGGCTTTGAAATAAATTGATTTTATTTCACTTGAATTTGATGATTATTTTTATTTACACATGTACTATAAATATTTTTAGTTATTTTTAAAGTACTTCAAATGTCGGTAAATTTATATTGTAAAAGAAAAAACAGGAAAGTATTTTGGAAGAAGCCCAATTCAGTGTACTGTAGTCCAGACAGAAATTATGTCTTATTTTAATATATCTAAAGTAACTAGTATAGGATAAGATATAAATTTGATAAGCAATCAATCAAAGACGGAAAATCATTTCTTCCTCTATAAATCCATTACTCATATAAGGTCGCGGTTGTCTTAAACCAGCAGATAAGCTAATCGGATATTAATATAAACATTGCCTTAAATGCATACATTTTTAACGATTAAATTCATTTGATACGCGTGATATGCAAACGAATTGAACTATCAACTACGGATGCTGATAAAGGTACGGTCTCAATTTGGAGGATTAAATATAAAAGAGTATATATATACATATATATATATATATATTATTTAGATTACTATAGTATCAAAATACTACATTTTTTGATGACGTCATTAATTAACACTATATGTTATTGTTTTTTATCTTGTTTCGTTGTACGTCATATAACGAAATTTCAATCGTTATAATAATTACCATACATCGTCAATTGGAATATTATGATATTCCAATTGATATACTATGGTATATGCACATTATTTAGATGACTATAGTTCCAAAACAATACATTTTTAATGACGTCATCAATGAAAACGATTTGTTATTATTTTTTATCTTGTTTCGCTGTACGTCATATTTTATAAAAAAATTTCAATCGTCACTAATTGCCATACATCGTTGAGTGGTATTATTTTTCATGTTCACTTCCAGTACGTGTTCTCCGGCACGTAGCTGGTGTTTACAGATGTCTCCTGTTACTGTAATCTTCATCACTAACCTTCGATGTGAGTTTTGATTGTCGTAGAATTGTCTCCGCTATGACGTATGAAAACGATTTGGAACACAACGAATGATACAATCGTCTGAATTAAAATATAATCTTATCAGAATATTAAATCTGTTTGAAAAATTGGAAAATTGAGTTCAATATATTTCGTCTGAATTTAAATATATTTACTTTACGTTTAGTTTTAGTTTAGCATCAGTTATTACGTACAAGTAAGCTAGAATAAACGATTGTTTTTCTTCAAAATTTATATTAAATCCTATGTGCCACTATATCATAGAAAAGTATAGGAACATATTCATATTAAAATATATGTATTAAAAGAATTATAGATTAAACATTTTTTATTGTCTTAATTGAAAGCCGCCGGCTGTATTAAATATTCATTAATATCAATTTAAACTTATTATTAGATATTTAACGGTTTAAGCTCACGTTACGACGACCCTTTTTTATGTTGATAGTATTTTTAAATGTGTCCAATTTAAACATTAAAAATACAAGAAATTTTATACAGAATACAGGAAATGACTAAAGAGTGACAGCGACTTGGTTTCTTACTATTTTAAATCAGTAACTGATACATTTTGTTGTTATTGTAATATTCTTAGTTTAGTATTTTCCATATTGATTTACAAAGAAAGCAGTTTTATTATTCTAGAACATCAGCACAGATAAATTATTTATCTGAATGGATCACGTGAGAAGGAACATGATTATATTGCGGTGCCATCTTGATTTTCGTTTTGTTTGTGGTAAAATGCATCTTACAACATTAATTGAATTTAAATATGTAATACGTATAAAAATAATCATTATATGTATTATTTGTTGTAATAATGTATGTAACTCTGTCTATCTGTCTGTCTGTTACGCTTTCACGCCTAAACCACTGAACTGATTTTAATGAAATTTGGTACAGAGATAGAGTTGACCTTGAGATAGAACATAGGATAGTTTTTATCCCAGACATTTGAAATGTTCTCTTGGAAACGCGATATAACCGAACTCCACGCGCGAAGCTGCGGGCGGAAAGCTAGTCATCCAATTTTACTTTAAAACTTATAACTGGATTAAATGTCTGAGTGTTATATCTTATCTCGAACAGATTGACGCACGAACAATGGATCATCTTAAAAAGGAAATATATCATACATTAAAAACTCTTTTAAAGAAAAAAACCGTTACTATGTAATTATATTTTACTTGTCAGTCTGTGATAAAAAAAAAGTGCATTGCAGAGCCACTGATAAGAAATACCTCGGCAAGTGATTATCAGTATCAATTAATTCTGTTCCGAATGCCCGTTGAAGCATGTTACCAATATTCAGTACATTACAATATAATAACTAACGATTTCACTTAACAGGCAAAAAAATTCACACTTTTCCATAGTGCATTTAAAATATGTCACTTATTAATTCACATAACATAGATAATAAAAAAAATAGTGATGTACCGTTTCATTATTTATCTATAACGATTTTACCGATTAATGATCTATAAAAATTACTATCGTTTGAGAAAATATTAAATTAATGCGGAATAAATTAGTTTGGTAGATTTATGCATCAGTTGCGTTTACATATCTAGATGACATAATATCACATGTTCGCCCTAACAATAGAATAGCGTTAAACGAGGTCGACTCAGTGCATTCTTAGGAATAACACGTGATTTGTTGAAGCCGAATTATATAATGGCATGATTTGACGTATTCTACAAGTTTCAGAAACGGATGAAGTATAGGAAAGAATCGTATCCACGTGTCTGTTGAAGAACACATGACTTATATTTGTAGGAAAACTATAAAATTCATGACGTACTTCATCCAAATTATACCTGTTTTTGTTTGAAACAGGTGGATAGTTTTAATGGAATGTATATTTTTAATTTGCATAAATGGACCTTTACTCCATTCAGCACTTAGGTGAAAATTATTTCAAATGGTTGAA